CTAATTTGACTCTATGACAATAAACAGTGGATAATAAAGGCAAATTAAGAGGAATTACGAGAACTTAACGTGTCCTGTTAGTCACGGAATGTTATGTGACATATCACGACCTTGTGAGCGTGGAAAAATGGGTTTGCAAATTCTCTTATTGTGGTTKAATTTCATTAAAATCTAGAGATTAGAGCCCGTATTGTCAAAGTTTGCTGTTTAAATCACGAAAGTTGACGTCAATAGATTATCATGCTCTTTGACGAAGCCCGAGCAAAAGCTCTAAGAGCGTCTAGTTTTTAATATCATTTCAAACCCAGGAACTAATCAAACACGACGTTTACTTAATGGAACTATGGCTATTATTATCAAAATGAAGCCCATGTCATCTGAATATATATTTTATGTTAAGTGCAATAATCGATTTTATGATATTTACAGAGAGGAGACACGGATCTAGTGACTGCTTGAAAATATTCTGAATTTTCTTTTTTTAAGTCTCGAATCAAATATTTTTGTATGGAAAATGTTATATCAAAAATTTGCTTATATAGATGAGTTCACAGTGAAACACGGTTACTATAACAACTAAGAAACGGTAAACAACACAACAACTTAAACCATTGACACTTCAAGTTCTCTTGGGTGTRCAAATCTACAAAACAAAACACGATTTTACAGCCGAGTAATTCTTCTTTGTCAGACTAATCTTCTTTGGTCCCTCGCTATAAATTAAGCACGTTTTGTTTATGCGCTGTCATGGCGACCAGGATAAATATAACAAGAAATTACGTCGATCATTACGTACGACCTCGGCACTGTTAACCATTTACAGATAGGTTAACTGGCTCAAATTTCATAATTTGTTCTTGCCATCGATCAAAATCGTTCTGGAACTTATATTCTGGGGGATTCAAACTTGCATTGTCAATTTGGGATCGATAGAGAGCCGTACTTTTCATGTAAAAGATTCTATAGATCTATCACCTACAGCCAACGAGTTTCTTTATCACTTTGTCCGTGGTTACCGCTTATTTTAGTTCTGCTGGAAACTTTGCTTCATTTTCGACGAGAAAAAAGACTTAAACGGATTATCTTTGGTATTTACTTCACAAATCAAGGTGGAGTGATCGACTGAAGGGTTTCGAGAGTTGCAGACCACACGTGTGATGTTTYTGTGAACTATTGTACCTTGGAGGATTATTTGTGTACAGTGCCTGACTTGTGCTTTAATATAAAAGTATACTCTTTATAGCATCCTAAAAACATGGGGTGTTCTGCTTCGACGGGTGCACCAGTCCAACAAAATAACAACGTCCCAAATGGGAACGTAAAACCAGAGACACGACCTGCRCCTTCTGAACCAAGAAACGAACAACCTAAGCCTTCCAAAGAAAGACGAGATTCATCCAGCAGTAGCAGCAGCAGTAGTAGTGACAGCAGTGTTGGTTCAAAGGATAAAAAGAAAGTAAAAGAGAAAAATCCAGTTGAAGAGAAGCCAGTTACTCAGCCCACAGAGAGTGAAAATGTGAAAGAAAATGAAACGCCAGCAACAGTGGATGAGAAACCAGCAAATGAAAACGTGACAGCAGTTGAGGCAGACCCGACAGAAAATGTGAATGAAAATCAACCAGAAGAAAAAGAGAAAGAGAAAGAAGAAGCTCAAGAAAAAGGAACGGAAAATGAGGAAGCAGCCCAAGAAAAACCCAATTTTAATGAGGAAGTGCTGAAGAGCTTTGTGGAATTGGAGACAGAGATCAAAGACCTTGAAAGTAA